TTAGCAATGGTCCAGGAAAGATTATTATTTTTTAGTACGATACCATGGTTGGTGACTCTTTTTATGTTACTTACATTTTCAGGTGCCTAGTACATGGAAGGAGAAAATGGCAGATAGGCTATTTCCACACCTATACAAAAAGCCTCTTCCTATCACCTTTGTGCAGCTACAAAAACAAAGGCTGCTCCAGAAGTAAACCTAAATGTATTTTTAACCAGTCCAGGACATTTTATAAAATGCCACTGAACTGGCAACCTTGAAGTAAAAGACGAAAAGTTTATTTACAAATCAACAAGAGGCAATAACGCTCCGGTGCGGTGCAGATGTATTTCAACATATTCAGAAGCACTGTTCAATACCAGCTCCAGGTGGTTAACTTGCTAATCCATTTTAAGTACTGGGTGATGCAAATCCTCCTTCCAAGCAAGAATATCATTGCCTGTCCTCCTTTCACAGGCAATGCAGCACGTTACAGCATCAGTTGCAACCAAAAGGCTTCCTTTTATTGTGGTAACCTTGGAACACAGTGGTGCAAAGCATAGCTAAGTGTTTAGAGAAAAAGCACTTGGTCTGTTTGTGTTTTTTTTAAAAAAAAACAAACCAAAAACCTGCTTTCCTATTGTAACCCCTGACCACATCCTGCCCAATGCAGTGTTCTTTTCTTGCCCCCAGAGGTTGATACCTGTATGCAGAACCTTTCATGTCTGTTTAAATATGACTCATCAAAGTGTCAGCATCTTCACCTTCCCTAGCACCTTCTATTCTCTCTACAAAAAGAAGGGCAGCTTCTGACACTATGCTACACTAACTAGAAGAAAACAGGAAAAAATTGCATAAATTTATTCCATGCAAAAGAAATGCAGATAAAGCTTGCTTTTACAGCCTAGCCAATAAAGGACTCAAAGGTGTCTTTCAGAGATGTGTCAAATTGTTTTGCAGGTTTTGATGACTCACAATATTAACCTATGCGACTTCTAGCCTGGATGCTTGTGAACATGACTAATCAAATACCTCAGTAATATTTTTATAGATAACTAAGACTTAGAATTAAATTCAGGCAACCTTTAACATCACTGCATTAATTAAATACTGAGTAAAGGAACTTGGAACTTCTGTTACAAATACTGCAGTATTTAGAGATAGAGGATTCCTAGAATAAGGCTTGTATCTTCACCATTACTGAAACAAGATTTATTTTATTCAAGCTCGTTGCTACATCAAAACAAGTCACAATATACTCATAATGCTGTGGAATCAGTTATCAAATTGCATGAGTTCTTCTCAAGGTATGCCTTAAATGAATGACAAGGTGACTGCTAACTATCCAAGGTCAGCTGTCACAAGAGAAGCCATCAAATGTGATTCTAGCACATTCTGGATGTCAGTTTAGAAGTAGAACAGTATCATCAGTATGAAGCACTTCTGGGCTATTGTAGCAATAGGAAGGGCTGTCTCAGGCTAATTATTACAGCTTCTTGATAAAATCCGTCAAATATTACTCAATACATCAAAATTGAAAGGTGATTTTTGAATAAATGTGATGCCTACAAAAGAACAGCAGTAACACAGAACTGGTGCTACAGGGATTAACAATTGTGCATGGGCTTTCAGTGTTGCACCATAACAAAATTTAGTCCTTCTTCCTCGATTTCCATGCAGCCTTTCCAGAAACACTGCTAAACTTTTTGTGATCTCCCATAATACGAGACTGAGTTATGTCAGTACAACTACTTGCAAAAGCATCAAGGTCATGATGTGAAACTACTGAGGTTACTTCACTTGGAGCTGGTTATCATTTTTGTCAGGCAGCAACTACAGAAGTGCACACTCTCTGTTCTCTTATTCGAGCACGCTGACAGTTATTCCCCAGCAAATACCCTCCTCTTTCTCATGCAATCAGCTAAGAAACAAAGCTCAGAGCAGCATCTTTTTCATGAACGTCAAAGATTTAACACCACCTCTCTGGAACCACAGATTGCAGTCCCTCTGCAACCTGACATCCAGTATTAAAAGCTTCCAGCAAGAGGAGCCTTAAGCCTTACAGGTTGTTGCTGTTCTTTGGCTTTAAGAACAGGGTTAAACTAACATGGAAAACATGACCTAAGTGAGAATTCTTTTGGAAACGATTCTAAATCTGAATCAGTACTGCTGTACATACCAAATGCAAAGCTAATGCTGTATTTTAGGAGAGCTAACTTAACTCTTCATATCTTTCATTCCTCCCTCTTCTCCTACAGAGTTTCTCAATTCCTAAGGAAAACAGCTCTTATCTCCAGAAAATCAGCACACAGTACCCTCAGGGACTGCTCACATTAAAGAAAGTTTACAAGTCAAATTCCATTCAACAGATTTTATTTATCAATTTGGTTTTGCAATTACAACTGTTTCAGTTTCCTTTCACTGAAGACAAAATACAAACTTTTACAGCAACGCTTGCAGAGAACATTCATAAGATAACAGCTTGATATTTGCACAGGCTGGCTTCAAGAAAAAGCCAGGTAACTTGGTGAGTCACTACAGTTCAGTGCCTAAAATTGCTTTAGGGGCAAAAACAACTACAGATCTATGAGTTACCTTCCACTTCAAAACACAAGGCCGAGAAAAACTGCAAGTTGTTACTTCAGGTCGTTTTTGTCGTTGGTGTTTTTTTTTTTTTGCTAGTACACAGCACAGATCAGCCGATGCTGCCATTTCACAAAGGAGTAATTACTTTCTATAGCGAGGCAGCCAAGCACATGGTGAAGATGTATAACCCAGCCTCCCCTCCCCCGAAACAACTCAAAGGGAAACAATCCCTGCCACAACTCTGTAAACTGCGGATTGTACCTCGTTGGCAAGGCTCATGAGCAAGCGGTGCATAGTGCAGGCCTTCCAGAATGTGACTAAACTGATACAGTGTGAGCTCGAGTTTTTCAGATTTGCATCTGGACATGTCAGAGATCCTGTGTTTCCTAAAGTCTTGGAAAATAGTAATTGCTGGCACCAAGAAAAATTTAGTAGCTAAGGCAAGGTATCCCTTCTAACCCTTTTAAACAAAATTTGAGGCAAAACGTTAAGCAACTTTAAGGCACTTCAAAATTATTTTTAGTTTGCTTTACCAGCATACTTGATCAGCCACCTAAATGAGAATCAGCATAGCTCATGAATAAGCACTTTAGCAACATTTTATAGAGCAACAGTTTCTTGTAGCAATGTCTTCCATGCTATGAAGTGTTCTGTAGCACTTTTCTGAAGGTTTCTCAAAATATAGCCCTTTGAGGCCAGACAAGAAAATAGAATCTATACCAGGCATACAGTTTGCTTTGCTGAGCTGAAGGAGAAACGTCACACTTTAGAAGAGTATTTTGCTCACTTCAAAGCACAGAATACAAGCTCATGGATATCTTTTTTAAACAAATAAACATAATAAAATACTTCTGAGATAGGGAAAGGACAGATTAAGTCATTTCACAATAAGGCCAAGGATATACCATCTGACCCACACACAAACTGTTGCTGGAAACCGGCTGCTCATTCTGTTCTTTTATTAAACCTGAGCTGATTGTCTTATATTTTGCTTAGAAAACCAAAAGCTAATGAACTCAAAGACACAGTACTGGTGAGTAACTTCTCTATTTTGTAGCAATTCGGGTTTTCTGCAGCACAGTAGAAACACCACCATTCAAACTACAACACAAAAAAAGCAACACTGTGCACTTTTAAGATTCCAACTGAAGTGCACTTAATTTGCTTTGTATTACATTCCACTACCATTATTGTCTGCATTAATGCTATAATTTTGTATTGGGTGCCAAATGCAAGTCAGAGCTAGTAAGACAGTACTACAGATTATCCCAAAATTGATCAAGTGATATCATCAAAAGCCATGTATTTATGTGCTACATCTACCACTTAATTTTATATTCCATCTTTCCCCTGGGTTCATTTTACAGGTGCTCAAGTCAGTCTACACTGGAGATGACGTACCTTTGATACTCAGATGACATGGCTGACCCAGCCAATAAAAAGAAAATAAAAAAAAATTATTTGGCCAAACAGATTTTCTTAACCAGTTCACTGCAGAGTGACATAAACCTGATGTCAGGAAGCAGGGGAGGGTAAAGAAAAAAGGTGTAGCCCTGGCAGCCCCAGAACTATAGCAATCCTGACTAGGATCAAATCAGCAGATCCTCTGAACCACCCTTAATTGCTCCTTCAGCAAGCAAACATACAGGAGGGTAAAAAAAGAAAAAAAACCCAACAAACCCCAAACCTTGAAATTACCTGCAACAAGTTTAAAAATTATCTGAATAAGAAAACAAACCTCAGATTTCCCAGACACCAGTATTTCAAGTATAAATGGACATTGCCTTTTTATATAGGGAGTGAACTGAATTTTATCACTATTTCTATGATTGGTCTTTGTAGGCCAGAAAAAAAAGCTTCTGAACATTCTGTACCATGCTCCCTCACCCTCAAACAAGTCAGTAAGGGACAGTCACTTAGTGTAAAAAGTTTTAAAGCTGGAATGCTCATGTAACATGTATTCCATTCTCCTATATAAAGCTAGTACTTAATAGTTTTGGCTATCTTCGAGCTAGATGGGACACTTTTGCAGCCTACTTCATTTTTAGTCTTTTAAGGCACTAATCTTCACTTCCCATTTAGAAGGATTACCCCTATATCACCTCTCTACCCTCAACATTAATTGGAAAGAGCATAGGATTTATGTTTGGAATGCAGTGTTTTATCAGGCAACCTCTATTATTGTGTAAAAAAAAAAAAAAAAGAGTTATGTTATTATTCTGTTAAGACATTATATACTTCTACAATTTTGTTCAAACTTTCTAGCAGCATGCTGTGAAAGCCATGAGCTAGTATAAATTGTATTTCACTCCCTGAAGTCAGTCACCAATAATTCACATCTCAATAAAACTGAAGGGATCCTGTATCAAATGTTGATTAAATTAGCTTTCACAATAAGTAATCATGAGATTGCCACTGAGTAAGAATCTCTGAACGTCTACATTTGGCATATCAAAAAAGTCCCACAGCAGCAGCCACTAAAGGAAAATAAGACAGCCACTAGAACCCATGCAGCATATTGCAAGTAATCCTGTTGAAGAGATTCGTATCACCTCTTGCCAAGTATAATGTTGCAAAAATAATCTTTTAAAGTCTTCTTTTAGAGATTTAATGGATATTATGAACTGCTGTCTTCCATGAGCAACAGAAAATATTTTGGTTCAGTGAACTACAGGTGTTGGGCTACTAGTCCATTATAAAGTGGCAGGTCCTAAAGCGTGTGATAGTTTCGGTCTTTCGACTTGCAGAATTTGTACAGAAAAAATACAACAGCCTGCAGACCCAGAACAAGGACAATTCCACCAATGAAACTCGCAGCATCAAATGTAGATTTGCGTGAAGAAGGTGCAGGAGTAGGAGTCACAGTAGTACTTGTACCTGTTAAACACCACATTAGAGTTTGTGAGTGCATAATGCTCACAATAGTTTTACAAATTTTACTCTTGGCTTCCTTGTATTAAGATAGCTCAAAACACCCAAGCACCAGTAACAAAACAAAAAAATACATCAGAAGTAAAGACATGTCAGCAGCTGCATTTAGATTAGGGAATACTGAAATTCTGATCAAATACTGTTCGTACAAGGCCAGTGATTTATAGATAAACTGCTCTGGACCTTGATACCTGAGCAAATCCCAGCAGGACTTCATTTGTACTTCAAAAAGCCAAAGCTTTTCTCCTTTACATAGAAGTATATTATTAATATGCTCACATTCAAAACACATTTTCCAATCTCTGCTGCTTGCTCCAGTTTTTTTTTGCTTAAATTAAAATTAAATTATGATCTTCCATCTGCTGTACTTTACCCTGAGTTATGCTTAAAGAAATCAGCTGAAGCCACAACACATACAAATCTGGACGTAACAGCCACCTGCTGATGGCTACTTTTAAAGAACTTTACTTCATGAGAGCTTTTCATGAAACAGCATATTCAGAACTGATGCTGAAATAAAATACTTCAGCTTATTTCCATCACTTTAGTTCAATTTTTTTTTTTAAATAGGTATCCCATTACTATGCTGCAAGTGAAAAATAAAACGTTACCTACCAAAACCCAGTGAGTTAGAAAGTGACTTCCAGCCACATGATTAAAAAGCAGCCAGCTGATTTTGTTTGACCAACACATTTCTCACTTGTAATACCTCAGATTGCTGTTTCTCAGGGCATTACCTTGCTACGTACACACATCACCTTAACAAATTAATCATACCATAAAGTTAGAAGCAACAATAGCAGACATACCAATACTACTTAAGTGTTACTGCTTGGTAAACATTTCAAAATAACTTTTTTAAAGCAACATTAAGTATTTCATGCTTTAGTTATGCTAGTAGTAGCAGTTACCTGGAACACGGGGTGTTGTGACAACTGAAGTAACAGCAGTTGTAGGTAGAGGAACATGTGTGGTTGCATTGGTGACGTTAGCTGTTTGAAAGAAGACAGTATGTGCATACTATAAACTTCAAGCACAAAGTTTGCACGCACCAAAGTTTTTATGCAAATGATTTGTCTTGTTTTTCTTAAACAAGGATAAGCTTTGACCTCAAACTGCACTGCACACAATTTAGATGTTCAGTTGCATGGCATCAAGCCAAGTTTCTGCAATAAGGATTTCTTTCAAACTTGCATACCATTTTTATCCAAGTATTTCAATGTTCTCCACAGAACAGACAGCAACTCCTCATTCAGACAAAACCACTTTTCTTTCAAGTACTAATATAAATGCTGGTATTTGAACAAGAATCAAGACAGCTGTTTCAAGACAACTGAGAATCTGCATTAGAGCAAAGGACTTTAAATAGCCCTTAGAATCAGTATTTATTACACTAAAAAAAAAAGTAATTAATGTAATATCTCTAGACAGGAGAGAAACACAGGGTAGCAAAACTTCCTCTTTCCCAGTCTACAAAACATCAACTGTGAATAACATGAATAGAATAAGCAATCACTCACCTGTAGCTAGATAGTCTCCTAAAAGCTCTTCCATTATCAAACCAGAACACTGGGTCTCTGACCCCACTTCCCCTTCCCCACCCCACCCTGGGACAAGGGCCAATATTTGTATGTTTACTAAAAGTTAAACATTATCCTACTGTACATTAGGCTGTTCTCAGCCTAACCTAGTACCAATTCATTACCTACCAGTTCCCTTATGCAGCAGATGCTTTTATAGATGATTTTTTTTTTTTTTACATGAACTTCACTGCTAGGATGGAAGCACACATAAGAACAGAAACTTCTGAACTTGGCAAAGACAACAACCAAAAAAAAAAAAATCAAACTCAAAAGTCATGAATAGTGGAAACGACTAATCAAATTCAAACAATTCCCACTCAGTCAATTCTTAATTATAGTGGAAAGCAGCATTTTCTGTTAGTTTTTTTTAAAAGAAAAACCCCACTTCTTCCAAACCTTGGGACCATTTATGTATGTCATACATCAAATGGTTAGTAGTCATGCTGCTACAGTCATGTGTGGAAAAAGCCCTTGTCCATTATTTTATTCATCCATTTCTAGTTTACTGCCATTCTACATTTCGTGGTGCTATATTACCTATAGTAGTATGAACTGTAGTAGAACTGGCTGTGGTAGTATTGGAAGGTGATGTGGTAGTATTGGAAGGTGACGTGGTAGTATTGGAAGGTGACGTGGTAGTATTGGAAGACGGCGTGGTAGTATCGGAAAGAGGAACAACTGTAGGAGCTATGAAAGAACGAAAACTTACATTAGAAGAGATTACTGATAGTATTTAACAGCAACAATAAAAAACTCCAAACAACCACCAAACAACCAATCCCACCAAAATGGAAGAGCAGCACGCTGAGTTTTAGGAAATTCATAGAGCACTATGTTCTACTCCAGTTTGGGTTACAAAGCAGCTGAATGTTCAACCCATCAGACTAACAGCGACAGTTGCGCAAGTGAATACATGAAAAACCTCGCCACAGGCACAGCCCTTTCAAGGCAGCGTTCAACTGGCAACTCAAAATTCCTCAAGGCAAATAGCTTTGTGACTAGCAAAGGGAGAAGAGTCTTAATAGCATCAGAATAAACTGTGCATGCTTTACACAGTAAGAAAGCAGGCATTCAGTAGTGCTTATCAAGCTCGTTGCAACTAAAATTGAAACTGACCTATCACACTCAACTACAAATCAGAGTGCTTAGACAACTAAAGCAGTACAGCAGGGAAAACCAAGGTATCCTCAAAAATTTGAAAATTTAGCTAAAGCTCTCTCTTCTGAGGGCTGTTGCTGATTGTAGGTGCTCTCAGTTTCAGCATGTGCTGTGAAAAAAACAAACCACTGTGAAGCCTTCTGTGGCTTAACTGTATTAACTGAGTTAATCACGTACAGACAGCTTATCCAAGGCATTGCTTAATCATACACTGATCCATCAGCAAGCTTCCTGCTCAAATACCATTAGGTCCAGAAGCCTTTAATGCTCAGGGTCATTTAAATGTGGTTATTTACATCTTGAAACAATTCAGCATGGTGGGAAACCAGAGCCAAGAGTCTCTACAGATACAGGGCAGATACACCAGAATCTACATTCGATCAGGTACCACTTGCATAAAAAAAAAAAAAAATCAGTTTAGGGCCAGCTTAATGTTCTCCCATGTCAATCTCCAAAGGCAGCGCTGAGTCATGACACTGTAAGAGCTGATGAGGTATACAGGTTGATCTCACATCAGCCAAGATCCTCTACTTAAGGTGACAATTTTCCTTGAATATGCAGAAGCTAAAACACAAAAACCTGATAAAGTCACTACAAGTTTAACAGGAATTGATGGTAGAAATTCTCTTCTCTATAGAACAAGGCATTGTAACAGCACACTCTCTTTGGAAAGCGCTGAAAATTATGCTTTTAACACTCCTGATTAAGAGGTGATTATTACAATTTTAGAAACAACACAGAAGTCCAAGTCAAGCTGAATTATTTCTGACTGGCCACCACAATCACAAGATAGCCCATAGCTGTGCGAAAGCTTCATCTCTGTCGGTGTGAGACAGCGTCTTTAGCAGCACCATTCAGCTAGTCCAGAGGAAAGTATTAAGAATTTTCATTTGCTGTTCTAGACTTTAAAACCAGAAAATCCTATTTTTTCACATTTCTTGACAGCTTTCCGAAAAATTAAAATTGGGGAGGCTTTCAGAAAAGTAAATCAAGATTTAATCTAAATTATTCATATCCTGCAAATCTGCTTTGCACAGCAAGCACAGATTAATGAAGAGATTGGGGTAGATACACAGCTGAGCACATTCCTACCATGAAGTATTTATCTTACACAGTTCTACAACCCAGACCCTGCACTTGAGGACTGCATGAAGAACTGTGCTAGTTAACAATTATAACAAAAACCTTACACTTGACTGCATCTCAGAAACAGCAATGGACTCAAGAGGTAAAACTTTATTTTGCTGAGCATAAAGCTTACTGTCTTGAGGATGCTGATAATTTCTTTAGCATATACCCTAATAGGAAATATCATCAATTTTAATCTAAGAAACCAAGTCAGTAGCCAGGGACACATGCCTAGAAAAACATGTCAAGCATCTTGAAACAGCACCAGTAAGCAGTTAGCTGAATGCACAAGGAAATTGTGTTTTAGTACCTCATATCATAGGTTTAAACTGGAAGCAAAGGGCTTATTTACATACTTGCACACGCTTAAGTAAACTGTAGAAGTCTATTAACAAAAGTTGAACAGATGAAGAAATTGTAAACACAACTGCTTCACACTAAACAATGTGAAAGCTGAATATCTAAATACTTACTAGAACACTGTTCTTCAGCTGTACAGTTGGAATACTTTGTTCCTATTTCTGTTGCATTTACACACATCTCACCTGTCAGAAGAGACAAGAATATTTACAGCAGCAGAACTTCAAAGTGTTTGAGACACTGTTCTTAAATACTAAGAAACTCTTCACAGGGCAAGCTAAACATCATCTTCTAGCTAGGATAGCATTAAAGCCACTTCAGTATGCACAGCTTCAGTATTATATTAATAATTAGAAATCATTATTAATATCATATATTAATAATTAGAAATCAGAGGAGTTAATATTTCCTTTCACTAGTACCACACAAATCATTGCACTTAGGCAAGACTTACATGTGGCTACGCATCTCGTTGCAGTAACAGTATCACTTGGTATTTTTTCTTCAGAGCCTATACAATTAGACAGCATTTCTACTATTCGTGATATTTTTCAACCTAAACATTTTGTGTCTCTATGGCAGCATTATAAAAAAATAACCTTATTGTCTTAAGACAAAACTTAATTCCAGCTTTTCAAACATATCCTTGACCTTGAAATTGCTGAAGACATCAGTTTCTTATGTTTCTTCCTATGTTTCTTGTCAGTTTCTTCTTTTTGAAAGAACAACCCCATGTGCCAGTATAGGTTGGGGACTGACCTGCTGGAGAGCAGTGTAGGGGAAAGGGACCTGGGGGTTCTAGGGGACAGCAGGATGACCATGAGCCAGCAACGTGCCCTCGTGGCCAAGAAGGCCAATGGCATCCTGGAGTGTCTTAGAAGGGGAGTAGCGAGTAGGTCGAGGGGGGTACGCCTGCCCCTCTACTCTGCCCTGGTGAGGCCACATCTGGAATATTGTGTCCAGTTCTGGGCCCCTCAGCTCAAAAGGGACAGGGAACTGCTGGAGAGAGTCCAGCGCAGAGCTACAAAGATGATGAAGGGAGTGGAACACAGAACCATAGAATGGCCTAGGCTGGCAGGGACCTTAGAGGTCATTTAATCCAATCTCCCTGTCATGGGCAGGGATGCCTCTCAACTAGATCGGGCAACACATGGGGGCCAAACAGGGATCGAACCTGCGACCCTGGCGTTAGAGCATGGTGCTGATAACTGACTGAGCTAATATCTCCCTTATGAGGAAAGGCTGAAGGAGCTGGGTCTCTTTAGCTTGGAAAAGAGGAGGCTGAGGGGTGACCTCATTAATGTTTATAAATATGTCAAGGGCGAGTGTCAGGAGGACAGAGCCAGGCTCTTCTCAGTGATGTCCGATGACAGGGTAAGGGGCAATGGATACAAGCTGGAGCATAGGAGGGTCCACAAAACCATTAGAAAAAGCTTTTTCCCTGTGAGGGTGTCAGAGCACTGGCACAGGCTGCCCAGGGAGGTTGTGGAGTCTCCTTCTCTGGAAACATTCAAAACCCACCTGGACACGTTCTGTGTGATGTTCCTGTGTGACCTACTGTAGGTGATCCTGCTCTGCCAGGGGGGTTGGACTAGATGATCTTTCAAGGTCCCTTCCAACTCCTGACATTCTGTGATTCTGTTATTTTCTACCTGCACACCTCTCTCCCTTGATTCAGATTTCAACTTCTCCCCCCAAGAAGTTATTCAGATCCCATGGATGTTTGCATTTATGTGCCTGGTGGTCAGACAACATATGTTGAATTCAGAAAATATGCTTTTTGAAGGACGCTCTTGTACCAGACAAGTTACATCCAAAATCCTTTTCATAACTTCTGAAGTGTATCAGCCCTCCTACGTGACCTTCCTTGGTCATTTACAATCAAGTACCAAAAAATCACTATTCTGTCAAGCCATTTGCTCCTGATATTCTGTTTCCACCTCACACAAGTACAATAATCCACCTGAGGATTACTTATGTAGTCTTTCTATGACTCTGTCAACAGCAACTTCTCCTCCTCCAGGACTGACTAGCAGAGGTCTCCTACAATGGGAAAAACAAGCCTCTGAATAAGGCCAGCTAATGCTTCTTCAGCTCTGTCAACCCTTCACTAGGCTGCAATTCTCCGTTTTAGGAACCTTGCTTTTAACTAATGTTTTTTAATGGACTCCTCTCCCTCACTGAGTAGTGGTTGCAGTCACCAGGTCTATGACAAAACCTCAAAAAGGACTGAAACACAGGGAGATGCCTGCATGTCAAAACGCACTCAAGACTCCTGACAGCAAACACAAGTCATCAGTTTGTTCTAAAAGCATTCCGAACCATCTGGCAAACATAAGCTTATCAACAGCACAGATTTAAATCGTAAGCCTTAAAAATCTGGGATTTTTTTTTTTTAACATGTTCATCTGTCTCCACAAAAAAATCTGAAATGTTTAACAACAGATACAACTTACGAGTTAACGCTCTATTAGGTTATCAAACAAAACAGTGTATTTGTGTAACGAACATTAATACAGATGAAGTAGGTGTAGCTGGGTGTACAGTTCTGCATGGCATAGTTAGGATCTGCACTTACCTTTCGGCTGTTCACATCTGATCCACTTGCAGCCTTCTACCTTTGTGTCATTACCAATACATGAATTACAGTCAGAAAGCTCTTTACAGCTGTCTAAAAAATAAATAAAAAAAATGCATTGATTAGGACAATATTATCACTGTCAAAAAAGCAACTTCACCCACAGAAACAACTCTTAAATCTGTGCCTTCCCATCTGTAAGTCTCCCAGGTTAAGGCACAGCACTTCTCACTCAACTGAAAGCTACAATTTAGTAACATATTTGACAGGACACAAATCCCATTTCCCTCCAGGCACTACAGAAACGCTGAAACCAGACTCCACACATACACCAAGATTTTGCTTCATGCAACCTCTAACCATAGTAAACTCAGATAATAGAGGATATACTACTCTAGTGAAGATACCAAAGTCCCTAAAATTAATTTTGTGGAAGTTCCTTGAAACCTCAGATGGTAAGAAGCCTTATTCCTTTTGATTACATTTTCCCTTTAGGCAATGCAGCCAGCTATAAATAACCCACCAGCAGAAAGCAAGCAATGTATGGGAAACAAAGACAAGAATCTAGAGGACTTCACATACAAATGCATGTAAAGGAGAGAAAAAAGTCAATCTATTGATATTTTGATCACAGCAGAAGCCAGCAACATAACTAGTCCAGCTGCTGCCTTAAAACCATAATGACAACAAATCCACCATCTGGATCAAATAAGACCTTCTCCCAGTCTACAATTTTACTGCATTAATTTTAATGTAAGACTTACTCATACCACCATCATACTCAGGAAACCCACATGCAATGCACAATTCCTTACACACTCTTCAGCACATTTCACATCACATCCGCCTTCTCCAGGTGCCTTTGGGTGACCTTGCACTTTGCTCTGCCCTCTAGAGAAGAGAACGCTGCTATTCACAGAGCTTTGGCAATCAAGATGGTAATTTACATCTCAAGATAACAACTACAAATACATTAACTAACTTCGGTATCCTCATAATTAGAATTAAGCCTGAATCCACCCAGCCTTTATCTTGGTTATGGTAGGATCAGACTAGAAACATTGGCACTACTTACTTTGCTTTTAAGAAAGGTAAGAAGATATGAAAATACCTTTGTCAGTTTACGTCAGAGAAGTATGCAACAGACTCGACCTGTTCCCTTCAGAAATAAGGCACTTAAACCACCTCAACAGCTGTGTAACAGTTGCTGGACAACACATTTCAGAAATAAGTGTCATTATTCTTCTGGGTATACATCTAAAGAATGATCATGGCACACAAAACATTTACTTCCGATGAATGAACGACATTCATTTTTGTTAATTCTTCACTGATACATAGAAAATTTAGCAGAGTATATCTGTGGAGACAGATAATATACCAGGTGCACAGGGATTTTTAGCTTACTTTCAAAACAGCTTTTCCAGACTAACATAATGAAGGAACAGATTTGCAAAGAGTAAAGGATCGGGAGGTATCTTTAATCACACCAAAAGGTTTCAAGGATGAGCTGTTAACCTCAGAATCAGCGACTCAGTGTCAGATGTTCTCTCAGTGCTACTCCTGCTGTGAAACGCTCTCTTAGGGTCTTTATATGGGATAACAGCCCACTCCCCAGCTTTCCTCATCAGTCAATGCCTGCTCTTCACTGGACGAATGGTACCGCGAATTCAGCTCTTAAGCTTAGGCAAGGTCACGTTTGCTCCCAAGATAAACCTGTTTGTATTACTGGCTCTTACACAGGGTAAATTCGGCTATTCCCCTTACACTTAGAGGGGGAAACAGTAACAGAGTCTGTCCTGCCAGACCAACACTGCCCTCTCCCGCTGCACCGGAGAGACTGTTAACCTCTGACTCTCGGCAGTCCTCAAGCGATTCACCGTCCCGACAGGGTGCCCGATACTGGCCTACATCACGTCGCCGGTGGCAGGGCTGAACAGGAAATCCAGGAAGGCTGAAGCAGAGGTTACGGGGCAGTTTCACACTTAGCGGTACCCTGCGCCCTTACACAACGCGGCCAGAGAACACCAGGGTGCTCCCAGGACAACTTATTTCCTTCGCTTTTGGGGGCGGGCGGCACATCTTGCCGTTCTTAGCCGCGTAAACACTTTAGCAAAGAGCCCACGGAGCCAAAAAGACGAGACAAATGACGAGGCTAACATCATGACAGCGAACAACCAGCAGCAGCGACAGACGACCACCGCTTACGTAACTAACTCCCGCAGGATGACTTGTACCAAGTTCGCAAGAAACAG